ACGTTTTATGAGACTAGAAATATTTCAAAAAGTGCATTTCTTTTTCTTTAAAGTGTGAAGAAAAAAGGGACCTGTTTTCAGCAAGCTAAGTGAAAGCATGCAGCAAAGGGGGAGAGTGGGGGAAGTCTGGTATTATTCCACACTTCACCCAGCTATAAAAAATCAGAGTCACTGGCAGTTCTTCTGGAGATCATGTTAAAATGTAATGACCAAACATTAAATAGTTCAAACCCCTTTGTATAATTGATACAGGTTACTGGGCTGTAAACTGCATAAAAACAAGAGAACACAACAAATATACTACAAAATACTTGGTGGGATCCATAGATAGAATGAAGTCGAAAATTTTACATTTTAATAAGAGTGTCAACACTCATATCGACATAATTTTTGGCCCTGATAAAAAATATCTAAATCAGGTTGGGATTAAAGTAAGGGGTTAAAGGTGAGTATAATTCACCATTTATAGCTGACATTAAGAGCACCTGTTATACTATAGCCCAACAAATGTTTATATGTTTCTTTTTAAGATATTGTTTGTGCACCTTGACATCTAGGAGCCAAACATGATTATAGATATTGTTAAAGACACGTGTATGGATGCATAAAGAAAAAGACTGCATAGAAATATAGACATATTGTTTGATTGGGTGGATTCATCTTTCACACAATCTGGATATAAACATTTATCTCCAACCTCTTTATTTCCAATTCTTACTTTCCGACACTGTATTAAAAAAAGATGTAAAGCACGCATCTTTCTACAAAAAAAATTATGTCCAATCTTACTTCAGGTCACTGGATGAGATCGTCTCCTGGCGGGGTTTTTTCCCAAACACCACCTCTTCTCCGCAGTCATTGTCCGCATTCCTCTTGACCCGAACAGATGGACCGACATCCCCTTCATTACCGTATTTATCTGCAGACCTCCTAAAAGGCAGAAGAATTCACAAAAAAAGTGGGAAAGTTTGGCGGTTTTCACTGAAGTCAGACAGTTAAATATCACCAGCTCTCACCAGAAATATGTTAAACGCCAGTTAAAATATCATCATTATCTGGATAAATAAAAAAAGTCTATATTTTGATTATTAGGATAGTGCACTCAGAAAATCCATATTTCAAGCCAGTAGTGTTAATGGAATCCAGGACAAGACCACCTTTTTAACATTCAAAAAATATGGATACTTTGATGGCAAAAAATTTATGTCAATGCCCATCCATCCACTATGCCCGAATACATTAAGAAAAAGAACAAAAGTGCTTCTATAAGAAATTTATGAAAAACACAGAGTGAAAGAGACAAATTTTTTGGTACATCACAACCTTAGAGGCATTAATGCTGATACTGGCACTTACATTTTTTAGTTTATAAACCTTAATATATAATATAATACAATGTAATTGTTAACAAGGCTTATTAACTTTTTAACTTTTCAATTAGCTTTTTAAAATATTTTTCTTGACTTGTTGACTCTTTTTTTTCCAACTTAATTTCTAGTATGTAATATATCATTCAAGGGCTCATCTAATTGGTCAAATGCCAAAATAAGATGTACAGACATGAAGCAGCATCTTTGCTGAATGTCTGGATCTAGATCTTGTGCTTGTAGACCTCACTGAGGGACGAGGGGGAGACTATTTGTAAGGGGTATGCAAGTGATGAAAACGGTAACTCACCCTAAAAAGGGTTAATTGACATACATGCTAGCTATGTTAGCCGGGTAAAAACCGTTGACACGAGCCGTGAAATTCTACCTCATTTTTTACGCCACGAAGGAAAAGTGACCTAAAAGTAAAAACACGAGACTTTTTTTCGAAATGAAAACATCTTACCCCGTTTCTGTAGACACGCTCGTGGGTGTCTTTTTGCTAGAAGAGCTTTGTTGCTCATCGTCAAACACGCTGAACAGTCCTTCACCAAAGGGGTCCGCCATGTTGGAAACGGTGCAATAACTTCCGCCGGTACAACATGAGGCTGTCGACAGTTCCGCTACGGAAGCCGTGTGGAACAAAACATAAACGAATGACACACGTCTCTACAACGCCGTCTGTGCTCTTCTCGTAATACCTAACGCCCAGCTGATGTATCCAACGCGTGTTTCAGCGTAAAATAACCCAACTGGATTGTTGATGTGATGGGTGGAAAGAAGAAGAAATCAGCGGCTCAGAGCGCTCCAGCAGCAGCGGTGGCCAGCTCCGCTTCTACCCCAGCAATCGGTGTTACCGGTGCGGCTGAGGACCAAAAGAAACACGCACCCAGCGGGAAAGGTGGCAAACCAACTAAAGAGGCTAAATCAAAAGGTGCTTTTTTAATATCTAGCAAGACATTACAAAGAATCCAGTTGGTTCTTTTCTCACAATGTATATTTAGAGCATCAGAATCTGTCTGTGTGACATAGGGGTTCAAGGTAAATAGTTTATATCAAATAATCCCTCTTTTTTTTCTTTACATTATTTTCTTTACTAGGTATATAATATATGTATATTAATATTGTTACTGCAGGAAGTTAACAATGCTATAAGGGATTCTAGTTCATCATATCTAAGATTTTCTTTATAGTAAATGTCAGAATATTAAACCTTGGCTACCATTCAATATATATGATATACTGGTTTGTTTTGTTCTTCCCTCAGCACCTAAGACATACAGTCTGGCCAACACAGCTCAGGTCGACACCAGTGGGGTCTCAGACAAGTCCATTCTTAAGGTAAGTATGCTTGCTTAAAGTGCCCTAAGATGTGTACACCTTGAACTCATCTTCGTTTTTTTTTCTACAATTATTACAAGTTGGTGTGCATTATTTTTTATGGGCCTTGATGCCTAACCTGACAACAGCCAGATGCATGTCTCACTCCGCCTAGCTCCACTCACATACTGGGCGGAGCGAGACATGCATCTGGCTGTTGTCAGGTTACTTGATGCCTATTTGAACTCTGAATGAGATGCAACCAATGGTGTAACTATCTGTGAGCAGAGATTGCAGTTGCTTAGGGGCCTCCGGCCTCTTGGGTCCTCGTCTCTGACAACTGGTTGGCCCCCTATGCAATTGTGGACTAGGACGTCTCTTTGCAGATGTAATGCTGAGAAAAATTCCTCTTAAACCCACCTGATACTAGATCGACTGACCAGACCTTATTTATACCCCAACACATGGCAGCTTTCAACATAATGGTGAACCGTTTAAACCTGACACTAGTAGCAAAGCAGACAGTGGTATTTTTAATTACTATGTTAATAACTGTGTATAGTTCATTAGACAGTTGGTAAAAAATACACTCATATAATATGTTTCAAACCACAATAAAGATCTTAAAAGAACAACGTATTTGAGTATTTCAATTTTTACACTGCAACTTGGAATTATGGGTAAAAAAAAAAAAAAAAAAGAGGTACTTAAGCGGATTCTAGAAAAGAAAAAGGAAAGAAGTTATGCTGGAAGAATGGAAAAAACTTCCCAAAATAAACACGTTCTTTCAAAGAACCACAGAGGCTGCTACAGGGAGTAAAGAGTGCAACCTGGAGATGAATGGAGAGAGTGTGGGTGAAGAGGGGGGCTGTGAAACTCAAGGCAGCCCGATAAGACTCATTTTACCGCAGAATATACTAAAGTATACCGATGTCTATTGAAGGTGAAGTGAAGTGTGTATGTATGGGGCACATTTCGGGTCGGTTAGATTCGGCGGTTGTACTTCATATGGGGCCCACCCAGATAATGTTGCTTACAGGCCTATTGTTGTGTCATTACGCCATTGGATGCAACGATCCATGGCTCTGAAGCTGGAAAACCATTAGTGGTATACTCCACAAATAAATTCCATATGGAATAGTGTCAAAGAAGCCAACTATTTAGGTTTCATTCATAGTTAAGCCTATAAAGGTTTTAAGTATTGACTTTCAGGGTGCTGAATGCAAAAATAAACACTTTAAAAGTCTTTTCTTTCCACATAAGAGTTATCCAGCGCTCTGTACTGGTCTGTCACATCAAATTCCTTTTAATACATCCATTTTTTTTTTAAGTTTTGCAAAACCAGGTAGAGATTAGAAGTAATTTCTTTCCAATGTGAGAAGTTTTTTATATTCATACATTTTCCTCTTTCGTACAAAGGTTTCTATCCAAGCTGAGCTGGAGAAGAAAATCATCAAGCTGATCAATGATTTCCGACAGGAGAACGGAGACAAAGGGGCGATTTCTGGCAGACTTACAACCAAGAAGCTGTTGGTAGGAAGGAACCCTGCCTTCTCACCATCGTCTACACATGTGCTGCTTCTATGTTTAAATTAACTGTTGTATTTAAGGACCTGTACACAGCTCTGGAGAGATTCAGCTTTAAAAGAGAACACATTGAAGAGGCGATGAAGAGCAGTGTCCTGCATGGGGGCGACCTCCACTCTGCTCTTGACTGGCTCTGTCTTAACCTTAACGACGGTAATGGAGCATAAGCGTTTATAACAGTGTAAATATAGCTGCACGTTATTATTTTAACAGACTTTTCATCCATTTTACTAGATGAGTTACCAGATGGTTTCAGCCAGCAGTTGCAGGAGGAGAGCCAAAAGAGCCGGCCTAAATTCCAGCCTCCTCCACAGCAGAAACTTGCTGAAATAAAACCCAACGCATCAAACGAAGCCCACAGAGACACCAAGAAGGTTTGTGTGTTTCCAGATTTTTCTTTACTTGCTTTAAAAGTGTTTTCCGGCTCAGCATGTAAGCTTTATTCTGTTGCGTGCAAGGTTTCAGACAAGGACGAAGCTGCAAGCATGAAAGACTGGATCTTGAGGTACGCAGAGCAAAGCAGTGAGGAGGAAGAGGAGGAGGAGGAGGAAGAAGGAAATAAGAAGTCACGCAATCCAGAATTGGATGAAAAATTTGATCCCGTAGGTTAAACTGAATAATTTTTGCGGGGATGTTGGATGTTTTGTTAAAAAAAATCTTTAAGAAACCATTTATGGGAGCTTTCAGTCTTAGTGTCATTTTATGTTGTTGGCAGAATGACAGGTATTTGATCCTCACTGCTCAACTGTATGATGCTAAAGAAATGGCAGCTGATTCCAAGTCTAAAGGTGACAAAACGGGCCAGAGGACGGCACAGGACAGGATTCGGGTCATACAGCAAGGTACATGTGGGATTGTTTATAGATTTACAAGGATTCAGCCAATGCTAGTCACTTTCTAACCAATCGGTATCAGTCCCAAAAGGTAAATGGGAAGTGTTAACACAGCTGTAAACAAAGTGTCATCAATGAAGCCTATGAAGCTGAGCATGCAGAGAAGAAGTCGAGAGCGCGTTGTCAGAGTTGAGCGTTTGGCAGACCGATTTTGAGTGAAGGTGTGCAAGTTTAAATGATGCACATTGTTCTCACTGCACGCTCAGTTCGGTGGCACCAAAATGACACCGTAGATGTTGAGCAAAGGAACACGAAATGCAAAGTTTGTCTGAAAAAGGATCTACGGGAAAAATGCTCCAATACCTTTGTGCAAAATGGTTTGCAAGAGGTAATATTTTTCTCCTCTTTAGTGAAACATAGTTAAATGTTTAAACCTGACAGGGTACAAGACTTTAATATTTAATTGAAAGTAATATGTAATTTTATTTATTCAATAAATAAGTTATAAATAGAGGAGTTGCTTTTCCTGCACATGCCTTTATTTCTGATAGAGTAGCCGGAGCATTTATTGTGAAAACTGCCCAATTTATCGTGATAATGATTTTAAGTCATATCACCCCATATCACCTACTCATGTGTTTGTGTGTTTATGGGTCACTTTAATACTAAATTATACTAAATAAAAAAAGATAAATTAACAAAGCTTCCATTAAGGAAAAAAGGCGAGAACAGATTTGAAATGTTTAATTTCTGCCTTTTTTCTCTCTTATTTAGAAATGAAACAGCTGGAGTCTCATCCCATGTTCAATCCTGCCATAAAGGTAGTAGATGCCCCTCAGAAGGAGAAGAAGACTCCTCCTGTGGTTGACGATAAGGATGACCTCGCCTTCAGTCTGTTTGAACAGGCAGAGAAAGTACCTCCAGCAGAAAAAGGTTCATGACATTAACTAACCTTTTTACATTCATTTCTTCACTGGTGGAATATGGCTATTTCCAGACACACCTCTTGCACTACTTTGAACTGTTGCCTTTAGTTTACCTAAAGATCTTTATTTGCATCTTTTGGATAAGACATCACGATTGCAATATGTGTCAGGTTGTGCTAATATGTGAAAGCTATCTGTTTTGTGTGTATGGAGGAGATGTCTCTTGCAGTTAACCATCATTATAAAAAAAGGAGTAGAGCAAACCAGAAGAATTTGCTTGACAACTTTGGAAAATGTTTGCAATTAACACATGAAACACAGCAGTGATCATGAACCAGTGTCTCTTTTTTTCTTTTGCAGCTGTGAAGAAAAAGAATGAACCAAAAGATATTCGTAACTTAGACTACACGGCTCGCAGTTGGACAGGAAAGTCTCCCAAGCAGTTTCTCATCGATTGGGTCAGAAAAAATCTGCCCAAAAGTCCACCTCCAGCTTTCCACAAGGTTGCTGCTGGCAGATACTGGAGATGCAGGTATGCAAGTTTGGGTGCATCCCCATGACAAAGGGCCATATGGACAAATAACTATGACAAGTGATGGTGATTGGAAAAATGACTTCATAATGACATTCTGAATAAATAAAAAAGCAGGTTTGATTGTTCGTAGAAGCTTTATTTATATGATGTTTGTGCACCATCAGGGTGCGAGTCCAAAGAACAGATGATGTCCTGGAGGTTTGTCCTACCATCCTGACTGAGGACAGCATGCAGGCTCAACATCTGGGTGCAACATTGGCGCTCTACAACCTGGTTAAAGGACAGGTAACTGGTTTAACAGTCCAGACTGTAGTGATTGCATTATTTCGATGTCTAGAAACAGCAGTAAGTTGTTCTCTTATCCTGTGCGATGCAGTTCATTAAAGTAGGTTTCACCAAACGGATTACTTTTATTGTTCTTTCTTTTGGGGGGACCCCTGGTGCACATAACTTCATCGTCTATCTTTATCCAAGATGTCTGAACTTAAGTTTAACAACCATCCATCGTTAATGCTATGTTTACAGTTTGATCACTCATTAAATATCTGCAGTAATCAATTTTTATCATAATATATTAAAACAATAATACTATCTCAAAGTTTGTATCCATAAGGAATCCCTACTACTGATTGTCTGATTGGCTACTTTCTTCATAACAGCTAAATCTGCTACTAGAGAGGTGTTTACCTGCATGGTACTGCATGTCATTCAGCATGTGTCTGCGTCAGTGCAGAAAGCTGTAGAGCAACCACATGCATACATACAGACACAGCTTTGTGATGATAGGCTAATAGATTTATATGAAATTAACCATGAACACGGCATGTATGATTGACTACATGCGTTGTTGAGGGAATGGGTGGTCTGGTTGGCAGGGGGAGATTGCCTTGGATAATGGCTTTGTATTATCAGTTCTACAAATAAGTGCTTGGACATCAATAAATATTTCCATATTAATAGTATAATTATTTGATATGAATGTATTAATAAAACAAAAAATCAGAAGAGCAGATCTTCTTGTAAAGTCACTGAGAGGCTATTGAAATGCGACTAAGTTGTATCAGCCGTTGGTAAATGCAAGTTTTTCTTTAAATCCATATGGTTAAAATGGACTTTATTGTCGATATTTAAATGGAAATTATGATATTAGGGGGTTTATATTTGCAACAAACTCAAAACAGAAAGACATCAGCACGTAGTATTTGTTTACTTATGGCATTTATGTGCTGCATTCTCCGACATAATGATATAATTCTTTTGCACCTATTTGTTTAGAAAAATGTAACTACTTGAAATCTGAGTCAGATAAATTTAATTAATTTAAAAGAAAAATGTTTAAAAAAAATGAAAATAATACTTTTTTTTTCATTGGTTTTCAGTTCTGTGCATGTTTGGGTCTCAGGTGAACTGATTTATCTCCTCTCTGCATCTTTTTCACAGTCTGTGCACCAGCTTCTACCTCCTACCTACAGAGATGTGTGGTTGGAGTGGAGAGACAGCGAGCAGCAGCAGCAAGAAGCGAGCCGTACCGCTGCCAACAAACCCAGAGACCAGTTCATATCACGGCTCCTGACCAGACTCAAGCAGCAGCAGAACCAGAGTAACGCCCAGCAGCCTACATATCAAGACGGGCCGGGCTTCAACAACTCAGGAGAAGAGGAGCCAGAAGATTCTTGGGAGAATTTGGCGAACCTTAACATTGAGGAAAAAGAGAACAAAGCTGAAGAAAAGAGTAAGAAAAGTAGGGAATGGGATGGCGGACTTAAAGCAGCCAGAGAGCTTTTACTAAAGCTGAAAGAATCTCCAATCGCCAAGAAGCTGCAAGTAAAAACACTCTCTATGTTGTTTCACAGCGTATTTCATGTAATGAAATGCCAGCATATTTATCAAGTGTTTAACCTTTAAGGCAGAGAGAGAGCAGCTTCCAGTCTTTCAACACAGACATCGCATCCTTGAGGCTCTGCAGCGCCACCGTGTGGTGGTGGTTGCTGGTGAGACCGGCAGTGGGAAGAGTACTCAGATCCCTCAGTTCCTGCTGGATGAGTTGTTGACGGGCGCCAAAGCTGCTCAGCCCTGCAACATCGTGGTGACTCAACCTCGCAGGATATCAGCCATGAGCCTGGCCTGCAGAGTCAGCCAGGAGCTGGGCTGTGAGGACGGACCAGGCTCAAAGGTGATCTTTTTGTGCACCAAGCAGATCAGATGCATTTTCCGCTGCTTTAATTGCCATCTTTTGGGTTGCTTTCAGTCGTCGCTGTGTGGATACCAGATCAGGATGGAGAACCTGTCTGGGGACTGGACTCGCCTTTTGTACTGTACCACTGGAGTTCTCCTCAGGAAGCTCCAGCATGATAACTCCCTCAGCTCCCTGACCCATATCATTGTAGATGAGGTACCAACAAGCCTTTATCAAGCACATAATACACAGATTTATCTTGCCTACCTTTAAGCCAAACCAATGAGCTCTTTTCTTTCACCCGACCCATTTTCCCTTAGGTCCATGAGCGAAGTGTCCAGTCCGATTTCCTTCTAACCATCCTGAAAGATGTTGTAATGAAGAGATCTGACCTGCACCTTATCCTCATGAGTGCTACTGTGGACTGTGACAAGTTTTCCAACTACTTCAACCGCTGCCCTGTGATCAGCATTCCAGGCAGGACCTTCCCAGTTGAAGTAAGTTTGGCTTTGATTTGACTGAGTGCAGTTTAGAAAAGAAGTACCTTTGGAGCAGTCTGAAGTCTAAAGGCAACAGTCTTGCCCACAATATCATCGAGTCCTTCCCCCGCCTCTGACATAAAGAGAGACAGGACAGATATTTTAACCATTTCCAACCAGACATCTTTAGCAAGATGAATCCTGCCTCTTCAAATAGAGATTATTTAGCGAGGATCTTCAATATCTCAAATTTTCGTTTAATTGAGCTACCATAAGAAGTGCTTGCATGGATGCTGTTTTCTCCCAGGTTTATCATTTGGAAGATATAGTTGAGCAAACAGGATACGTCCTGGAAAAGGATTCGGAATACTGCCAGAAGATTTTAGAGGAAGAAGAGGAGGTTTCCATTTCCATTACACAGAAAGGAGGCAAGACTTTGCAGCATCAGGTAACCTTGACTTTCTGGACTTACGCCCAGACACCCCCAAAGCACTGACTTAGTTATAGACAAGTTTTTGTTTTGTCAGGAGGTTTTAGTGAGGGACTCCTCCTCTGGCTGGGATCTGGGTCCGGAGCTCGACCATTTCAGTAGCAGGACTCGGCAGGTGCTCCAGTTCATGAACCCTAATAAAATCAACGTGGACTTGCTCGTAGACCTCCTGGACTATTTGGGTATAAAACCATCCTCACATCATGAAGTACTTCTTGATCTTCCTTCTGTGACCCCTTGTTGTCTCTCTCTTAGATAAATCCCCACAGTTTGCAGATGTGGATGGAGCTGTGCTGGTGTTTCTCCCGGGCCTGGCTCACATCCAGCAGCTCTATGATGTCCTCTCCTCAGACAAGAGGTTCAGAGAGAAACACAGGTATTTCTACAAAATTTAAACCACAAAAATTAGTGAAAGAAAATCAACAAACTAACATGTTATTTCGGCGTTGGAACCATGCTTCAGGTATAAGATTGTCGCCCTCCACTCAACTCTTTCATCCAAGGACCAGGCTGCTGCTTTCACAGTGCCCCCTGCTGGAGTTAGAAAGGTACTACAACCAATGACTGATGTGATCCTTCATGGACCGGTACCTTTGTCTCCAGCTTCTTTTCTTGGGTTGCTTTGTTTTAGATTGTGTTATCAACCAACATTGCTGAGACCGGTGTGACAATTCCTGATGTTGTCTTTGTCATTGACACTGGAAAAACCAAAGAAAACAAGTAAGTATTTTACGTAACACATCTTTATTGGTTCATAGCTTGGATCAACCTTGCTTTAAAGATTTAAGCATCCATGAATTAAAATGGATACACTTCTCAACATTACAGGAGTACATTTATGATGCACTATAAATAGATTATACAACCTACAAAAGAGATTAAATTGTTGCAATAATTCCATAATCATTCTTGCAAAAAAAAAAAAAAAGAAAAAGAATTATTTTAGAACTGCTGGATAGTTTTCTGTTGAGGATACTCTTTAGATAAACTCTGTTTAATCGTTTATTTCCAGCGAAGGCCTTTTGCCATAAACTTCCAGTATAAATACTTATACTTATTCAAGACTTTAGATGGAAAAATTATATTTTTAAATGTTGCTTGAGATTTTAAATAAACTCTGTATTGGTAGACAAAGTTAACCTGACAACCTTTCATCACTCAGCATAAAACCGTCACCCGGATCTATAAAATCTTAAATATAGCACTGTATGAATGGTTATAATCTTGTATTTAATTTTCTTTTAATATATTAATTGAATGTATCAATTTAATTAAATTGATCAATTTGATAACTATGTTTTTGCTCAGCCATTTTCTTTACACAATGTTTTTTTTTTCAGTATCGATAAATAGTGTCTATATTCAGAGATCATTGCTAGAGTACAACCTGTAGAGGTCATCAGTCCTTTAGAGATCAACTGCAGACACACAGGACCAACAAACAAAGCACACAAATATGCAAATCTAAGGGTAATTTTGAGAAACCATTTACCTTTACAGTCAGGTTTTGACTGCTATAAAAAACTGCAGTACATGGAGAGAAACACATGTAGAGCATGCGAAATCCATGCAGAAAAACCATAGACAATCCCAACAAATTTACTTTAGTAAGTGGAGCGCAATACAGATTTCAATATAATGCTCCACCCGGGATATTCTACGATTGCAATGTTCAATGCTGCATGTCGAAATAGCTCTGCTGGTTTTAATAAAATATTCCTTTTACTAACATTTTTCGCCATAAAAGCCCTAGCAAGGTTCCAGCCAGAGTGTTTGGATTGCATTATTATGTGTTTCCCTGAAACATGGCTGCAGGATCATATCCCCATCTCCAGCATCTCTCTGTCAGGCTGACAGATTAGCAGATGAAGGTTTAAAAAAAGGTTTGCAAATAAAAAGTCATGTTGCTATGAAATCTTTATCTCTGTATCCCAGATATTCCTTTTGAATGATCTCCCTGTGCAGGGGCAGTCCATGTTTAGGTAGGAAGTTGGACATGAGCTGGACTGTGACAGGTTTTTTCACAAACCAGTTAAGGCTGTAATAAAAAGCTTTTGATGAGGTCTAAGGAGTTCCAATTCTAGATATTCCCTTATGCTACTCAGAGAACCAAGGTTATGGAAGGTTTGCTCGGTCTCCATTTTATTTTCCAGATATTTTTTTTATATCTGCTGGTCTAAGTTATTTGTTTTTATCTTCAGGTACCATGAGAGCAGCCAGATGAGTTCTTTGGTGGAGACATTTGTCTCCAAAGCCAGCGCCCTTCAGAGACAGGGGAGAGCAGGACGTGTCCGGAATGGCTTCTGTTTCCGACTTTACCCTAAATACAGGTTTGGAGCTTGTCATTCATTGTTTGCAAGCAGATAGCAATTAAACACCAAATGATCCTTTATGAAAAGTAATTTTATTAACAAAAAAAACATGTTTTCCTTTTGTAAAGCACATGTTTCGATTTTATATAAGCCTGTTTAACTCCTTTTCACATCAGGTTTGATTCTTTTATGGATTACTCCATCCCAGAAATTCTGCGAGTCCCACTGGAGGAGCTCTGCCTTCACATAATGGTAATTAGCCCCTTTTTTTTTTGTTACTTAGAAATAAAAAGTAACAAAAAGTAAAATAAAAATGTCCCTCCTCTGGTAGAAATGTCAGTATGGGTCCCCAGAAGACTTCCTGAGCCGAGCCCTGGATGCTCCTCAGCCTCAGTCTGTCAGTAACGCGGTTAACCTGCTGAGGAAGATTGGTGCATGTCAACCCACTAACCACATCCTCACGCCTCTGGGACACCATTTGGCAAGTCTGCCGGTCAATGTAAAGATCGGGAAGATGCTCATTTATGGAGCCATCCTTGGCTGCCTTGAGCCCATAGTAAGTCCTGTTAAGTGTTCATATTACATTTGATTGTCTGCTTAAGTTGCATATGTTAAAAAAAAAGAAAATCCTTTTTTTATTTTTTATTTTTTTGCTACCAGTATTACATTTCACATTCCTACAAATAATTTATTTAGGTCACTTATAAAGGCAATTTATTGATATAGACTATATTAAGGGGAAAATGGTTAAACTGGGTAAAAATACAGACGGATGCCGCACGTTTCAGATTTTTGTGTGCAAACATATGTTTGTTTTGATTCTACTTCAATAATGTGATTCTTTGTGTTTGTCTATTATATTCTTAAACCCCAATGAAAAAACTGTTTTAGTTGCAATAAAAAAAGAAATATTCAAAGGAGATTTACACATTTGCAAAACACTTTTCTTTCTATCATAATTAAGTATATGTAAGTATTTTTGTTTTACCTGATATTTTGAGAAGCGTTCACAAAATCTTTGTTTTAGGCGACCATCGCTGCAGCCATCTCTGAGAAGTCTCCTTTTTCCACGCCGATGAATAGAAAGGAGGAAGCTAACCTGGCCAAAGCCGCTCTATCCACGGCCAACTCTGATCACCTGACCATATATACTGCATATCTAGGGTATGAACCAGTTGGATTGATAAAATGTTTTTAATTTTCAATTTTGGCCTAATGATTAAAATCTAAAATGCATTCAGCAAGTGTTGAAAACTATTGATTAAGAAAACCATAAAATGTTGTAAGAAAGGCTTACTACTTCGAAGAAACACAAAACTAAATTATGAGCACTTTACAATTTTTGAGCAATACTTTAATTTTTTTAAATTAATAATGGCTGAATCAATTAATTGGATTAATCGATTATTGAAAAAAAATTCCACCGCCATAAAGACTCTAACGTGCCTTTAGTTGACAGAGCGAGCCACTTAGAGCAGCAATAATATCAAAGTTCTAAAAAAAATATGTAAACATTTTGAATTTTTAATCAGGTTTTATTATTACTGTGGACAAAAGATTGTTACGTGTTTCTGCTCTGTACTTATTTCCATAATATAATTTTTTTCAGTTCAGATGTCAGGTCTGTTAAGGTCAGGAAGTTTTGCATAAAAGAATATAAGGAAACACAGGAAATAGCTTTCTGACGGTTCATTACCTCAGGTTTTGATTGTTACCCGACCCTCCTGACTACATGACAAGCTGCTCTCCAAAGCCTTCATTCTTCCTATGAGCACAGAAAGCATTTTAAGAAATATTTACCTATTTATTAAAAATATGCTTGTATGATAGATACACAATGAAGGTAGATATGTCTTTATTTTTCAATAAAAAAAAAGGTTGCTTCAATCAAAAAATCTAATAATAAAGACACAAATCCACCAATACGTCACCATTTTAAAATAACTGTCTGAAAATATACCAATCTTAGTTGGAAAACCTCTTTAAATACTCCGTTTTGATCTATTTTATGTTTCTGAGAACCACTTTGGGATGTGAGACTCAAAAACGATGCTGCAAGTTGTTCTTTTGGTAATAAGGGTTCTGCACAGCTTTATCAACACATTAACCGCTGGCTTTAATCTGGTTCATGTCTAGAAAATCCTAAGTGAAATAGACCTAAATCATTTTCTGCTGCTTTCCACTAAACGATTGGTTACTCATGAGAATCATTGTTTGAGATCTACTGGGAAGTAATCTGTTAAGATTCATGCATTTCGTTGTTAGTTCTGTTTACTCGTCTAACTGATCTTCTGTTAATCATTGACTGTAAGTAATGTCAGAAATGCATTTATTTGCGTTGTATAATGTAAACTTGCCTTATTTCCTACCATGGTAGTATGTCTGGGTTTCCTGATTGCAATTTGAGGGGGGAAAAAATTGGGATAGGTTAAGAAAAATGCTGATAATCTAAGAACAGCTTTTTTCTTTTAGATGGAAAACTTCTCAAACTGAGGGACCAAGAGCTGAGATGTCCTACTGTAGGAAACACTTCCTTAATCGGACGGCTTTAATCACAATAGAGGTAGCTGTATGTTTTCTCTTCACTTTTTTTCCACAAATCTTTTCCTCCATCTGTAATATTCATTATGTTTTGCATCCAGGATGTGAAGCATGAGCTGATGAAGATGATGGAGCAGGCAGGCTTCTGGTCCTCTCGCTCTTCCTCCTCTCGCTCCAGGCAGCTGACGGCTTCACTGTCCAAGCAGCAGATCTCCGTCCTAAACGCTGCGCTGACAGCAGGGCTCTATGACAGCGTGGCGCGGGTACTGTGCAACCCGCCTGTGGACGGGCTGGAGCGGGTGGCCTGCACGGTGGAGACTCCTCAAGGCAAAGCTCAGGTCCATCCGTCATCTGTAAACCGGAACCTGCAGGTTCACGGCTGGCTGCTGTATCAGGAGAAGGTGCTGATGATGATGTAGTGTTTTCTGTCTGCCTGTTTCTCTGCACACAGCTGTTTTTAATGAATGTTCTTCCTTAGGTTAAATACACTAAGATCTACCTTAGAGACACCACCCTGATCTCTCCTTTTCCCATGCTGCTGTTTGGAGGCGACATTGACATACAGCACAGAGAGAAGCTCATCACTTTAGACGGATGGATTCATTTCCAGGTCAGAGCTTCAGTTTTGGAATGTTTCTTAAATATATGCTTGATATAATCAGACAAAATGGCTATTTAGTTTTTGTAAAGTAAGCTTTGATGCTTTAAATTAGGGCTGAAACAATCAGATTAATCGTAATAAATTCTTTATTGAAATACAGTGGAATCCGCTTATAGTCATCACGTTGCAAGTTTAATTACAGTATACTGCGCTGTGCATAGACATAACTCTGGTAGCCTACGCAACTTATTATGTGCTGTGCGTCGGCTCTGCTGTGCCGCCGGTGCTTTTTTTTTTTAACAAGTTTGAAAATAAAGTTTGGAATTAATGCTTAATCACAGCACAGTACTGCGCATAGCCTACAGTAGGCCTATGTAACTTATTCTGTGCGTCGCCTCTGCTGTGCTGCTGTTGCATTTTTAAAATATGTATGAAAATAAAGTTACAAACAAACGGTTTCATAGAACAACAACAAAGAAGATAACTGCATCGGCTACAGAAAATTAAAGCTAGCCTACCTCTGTTTTGTGTTGCGGACCTGCTGCGCTGCATTAAAAAAATCACTTCACATATCTATCCATGGTTCCCTGGATCAGAGCGTGCATCACTGGTACCCGCACTAAAGCGCTCTGGTACCTCTGCGATGATGTCATCATCCCTCACAACTCTGACACCAGAGTGCTGTCATCACTTTCGATCCACTTGTTAATTATTCTTACACATGTTTACATTCATAAAATAGCCAAAAATGAACACTTTAAGAGGATTTATTGATTGCTATTAACAAATTATTTTAACAGCATTTGTTTAGAAATTATTCTGTCCAAAGCCTTTTGATCTATATGAGCGGTTGATTACTATATCCGTGTCCACTATAAGTGGATTCCACTGTAATCATCGACTAATTTAGTGAGTCGTTAACTGGAGCACAGAGACCCTAAAAAAGGGGTCACCAACGTGTTGCCTGCTGATACCAAGGGGCCCTCAAGGACCACATGTGGGGCCCTTGGTATCTTCTGAAAACTTACCACTGGGTTCAGTTTGAAAATGTATTTAATTTGTTGCTCCTTTTTTCTAAATGATTAATATAGAATTTCTTCATATTAATCAGATAGAGCATCTAAGCATTTATAGAGATTTCAAAATTGCAATCTAAAAGAATGTTAGAAATAAAAAAAACTATAAAAATATGTACATTATGTGTGAAGTTTGGGCGAACGCTGATCCCTCCAGTTCATAGGTCAGCATTAGTAGCCCTTCCTATGACTCAGTACCCATGAAGAAGCTCTAAGCCTTAAAATAGACCACAGAGCAGTAATTATACCAAAACTTTAAAAATACTATATAAATATTTAGCATTTATGCTAAAAACAAACAGTTTTATCTGTCAATATGCTCTATCTAGAACACCTCAAGTTGAAAAGTTTTAGTTTCACCTGTTTTATTTCTGTAAAAAATCTTTTTTAAGGAACCTTTTGCTAACTGATTATTAATCGATTAACAAAATGATAATTAATTACAGCCCTATTTTACATGTCTAAACCAAATCCTCCTGAGAACTTGTCTCCTCTGACCTTCTGTCCTTCTACGATCAATAAATAAAACTTTTCTTTTTCCATTTTTAAGGCTCCGGTCCGGATTGGCGTGATTTTCAAACACCTGAGGAAACTGATGGATTATTTGCTTGAAAGGAAGTTGGAGAATCCCAGAATGAATCTGGAAGGTAAATTATAGAAAAAAATACGATCTCATCTAACTTGATTACCCTTTAACCCTTAACATTTGCTAACTCCTTTGGTCGTCTGAGTTTAAAGTGTAGCAGAATAAACCTGTAGATCAGCTTCATTTCTCTTTCCATCATAGGTGATGCAACCATTCAGCTTATTCTGGATCTGATCAGGTGTGAGCATGCCGCATAACATCAGTCCACCACAGGAGAACATCTTTCCTGGTGTCATCAAGTCTCCCTCTTGGTGCCCCGACATTTGTTTGACTTCGGGAGAGCATTTTACTCACATTGAGGAGGAATGTATATGGAATTAATGAAAAAACTGAAATTTGAACAATATGTCAGCCAAATATAACCTAACCCTAAAGCTATGTATGTTTTAGTCGAGATGATTGTAGTATCATGACTGACCAACATAAGACAATTTCAACAATTGAATGTAAAGAAAAAGAAAATTTAAAGCCTTGATAATATTTTGGGGGTTTTATTAAAGCAACTCAAGGAATAAATCTTTATCCTCTTTCATTTCCAGATCCTTTGTCAGGACTATTGTGTGTTTAAAGCATGACATGCTGGATCATTCTCATTAAAACCTCTAATTTCTAAAATATTTCACTGTAGCGTCATCCTTTAAATACCTGAGATCTACCTACAGCTTTCACAGTCATAGTAGTGGATACCGATAACAACAATAATTCAATTTGCTTGCAACTGACATTTCTTTCCCAATCAGGGGAAATAAATTTTAATAACTGTATACCACCGAGCCTTCTTGTTAGTAACATTTTGCAAAAAGGTGAAATATGTTGCATGCTGAAAAAGGTGCCTGAAAGAAGTATTTTTTCTTTAAAAACGTTGAAACAAAAAAGATTTTCTTTATAATATGCAGCAACACTTTAGATAAAGCAAGAAAAATCTAACTAAGCAGCCCAGCTATTTTCTGGGTCTACAGCTCTTTGCCAAAGATGTAATGCTCTTTGTATTAAGCAATATAATATATTAAAATGGAACAAAACCAATTCTGTATTACAAATTATTTTAAGAAAAAGTTATGACATCAAATTAATCTCCTCTGAGTCATGTTGTAGATCCACGTTCTGCAGTTGTTACACCATCGAGTCCTTTATAAATTACTTCACCTTTTTTTTTTTTTTTTTTGCATGCATTTCTCCAAATTAGCTGAAACTTAGCTGGTAAATACACTTGAAAATCAAATTTTTAGCAGTTTTAAGTTTCCAGATTGCTGCGTTTGCCATACAGTCAAACGTTTTCCAATAAGTCATTATTTTTACACATTTTCCTCTGAATTGTTATCAGTAGGAGATGGATACAAATGCACGCCACACTTTTCTGTTCATGCTTCTATAAAAAAAATATTGAAAAACCGCATATTGCACTCCTATTTCACAACTATGCACTTATTTGTTTTGGTGTAAGACATTGTGAAATCTTAAACAGTTTGGGGTTGTAACGTGACAATGTGGGAAGATTCATGGGTTATGAAATGCACTTAAGAAGGGAAGAAAGGATTAAAATGCAAGGGGATAACACATTTCCTCTTTGCTGCCTTAAACTCAACATAAATGAACAGCATCCTTAATAGGAGGCAGTTTTTTCCAACAGTTTGTAAAAATTGAATAGCTTTAACAGTTTTAATTAGATCTTTTTTATATTTCTACTGTAGAACCTTGGGTTTAAATTTTTTTGTTGTTTTTTTTGGTCCCAGTGTATTAAACCATTTGTTCTAGTGAAAGCTTTTGGATGATTATTTTATTTTTCTACTGAAAAAGCATGAGAAAAGGGTTGTTCTAAAGTGCTGCCAATTATGTGACAGCGGTCAGTTACTTTCACATCAACAAGGAAACGAAAACTGGTAAACAAATGGCACGTTTAAATAAGGAAAAGTCTCAAGTGAAGAAAAAAAAAATACGTTTAAAGTATAAAAAACACAAAGAAAAATGGTTTATTACGGCTTATTTTATTTCATATATTATCTTTTACAATTTACCTTTAACCTGATCAAAGTACATTCATACCATGAAACAAGCTAAAGTGAAACAGTCTGTACACAGTTATGACACTAATTTTCCATTTAACACGATTTACAGGAAGCCTAAAAAGAGGAAGTAATGAGCTATAATGGGTAAGTCTGAAACTGCTGGAGATGCATGTGCTAATACTGGATCACACTGTAGTCTCCATCCAGCAACACAGAGTGGTGTGCATCATCTGCAATGGAATAAACACATTTCATTCAATAATAATTGGCAAAAGCTGTAATAAATTTAAAAGCCAACATATTTTAATGCCATTATTCACATCTAACTATGGTTCAAAAATAAGATTTATTACAAGGCGTACCTCTATTGCTTTGTATTGGTTCAGGTAATGGTCCCCTCCTGCAAATTCACCCAAAAAAAACAACAAATAACAGCCTTTTATCGATGCTCTACAGATAAACATAAAAAGAAAGCTGCACTCCTTTGGTTTACCTGATGACTGGTGGAGGCAGCCGAGAGGGTGGCGGTCCAGGAGACCTCTGACCCGTGTAGAAGTTCTCATAAACAACTGGAGCTGTTGCATGCAAACACAAAACCTGATCACTTACTGGCAGCCAGTGACTGATAACTACTTCCTTCACTTTACAGCACTAATTAAGCGTCTCTGGGAGTTCGTGGTGCAGATATACCTGGGGGTTTATCTCCAGTCCGTCTGAGGTTTACAAAATGTTCGATATCTTCCTGGATGTCACATTGTTCCAGTGACCTCCTCACTTCCTCATACAGCTTGGCACACATACGTAAAACAGTAGTAAATTAAGTCAATGTCCAGTTATTGTTTTTATGCTGATAAATACAGGAAAATGTTTATCAAATGAAGACAAATGGCAGTAACCGTAACAACAGTAACAATAGGGCAGAAAATTTTGAATATAAGCTGAGTTAAAAAGGAAAAACACGGCAGATTATATTTATTCCCAATCTTTTTGTGTCTTTAGCAACAAGGATCTGCCTCCCTCTTGCTTTATTTTGTCAACTTAAAAAAATAGGCTGATACTACTACTTTAGTAAAAGTAAATAAATGTGTGTTACCTATTTGCAATTGAATAAAAAAAAAAAAAAAAAAAGGGTTTCCAAGGGTTGAAATTTTTCTTTCTGTATTGTTTTTTAAAGGGGAACTTGCCCTGTATTTTTTTTATGTTTTTATTTTAAAATATCTGCATCAGCCACCCTATCTGGTAAAATCTTTTGAATCATGATCAAGTGCCACCTAAGAAAAAAAAAAACGCCTTGGACACCCCTGCTTTAGGTGTTTGGACCATCTGGGTATGTTTCCACATTTTCAGTGTCTACATCACCAAGAAGTACAGAGACATAATCCAAAAAACACTTGCCTAGACTCATAGGATTTTTTTATTTATTAAATTGTTAAAAGCTTTCCTTGCACCTTACATTTATGTCCAACTTTGTCTTGTTTCATTCCATAAGACACCAATTAAATATTCTACTGTAAGTTTGTGTCTGTAACCCTGTTTAGGTTTAGGAGCACATTTGCCAGCCACAGTATGAGCAACACTGATTAGCAGTTCAGACCAACGTCTATTTTCTGTTGCCTGGTGATGTCTGCCTCCTAAGCTGCTGAGTGCTTAGCTGACGTCTGCAGGTAGCTGTTAAATGCCTGCGTGCTGTTTGGTTTGAGCGCAGTGGATTACAATTATGCAGTCAGCACTTTTTCACTAAAAACACCTACTTGTGATAACTGTCACCAAAAAGTAACACCTAAGGAGCTCTGAATCCAAAACAAAAACCTTTGAAACTTTAAGATTATCCTATTAATAAATAATAATAAAAAAAAAAAACAATTATTTACTTTAGCTCATTTAAAGTGCCTATAATGTCTTGGTCTATATGTTAATGTAGTAAAATACAAAAATATAAATCCATTTTATGCTGCTGCAGCACAGTTTGTCAACTTGTACTGACACTAAATGCATTCTTAAAACTCTTTGTCCCTGTGCTTTGATTGGTGAGTTATGTGCAAATATAACAGCCTAAAGGTAAAAGATTATTAATTTTTTGAGAAATGTTAAAAATTTTCTTCTCTGAGTTTCAGTGTGATCTAGATCAGAACCAGACGAAAAAAATCTATAAAGTAAGGGTCTTTAGGAGATTTACTGTACCTCATCGCTGGTGACACATTGCTGGGAAAGCTGGTTGAGATGAGTCCACACTGTGTTCCTCAGGAAGTTTATACGTTCTATCGACTGTTTTTCAAATATCTGGGAGTTAAACAAAATGTTTGATGTTAAACGTGACGTTTTTCTGTGGTTCAGCTATTGATAGACAGAGGAAGTCATCCTCAGCCTTACCTCACAGGCATTTATGTGCTCCTTCAGCCAGTCATCTCTAATTTTTCCCAGAGTTGTAACATGCTGTTGGTATAATCTGTCTGCCAATGAAACAAACACCATAAACATTCAAATTTGTTACACACTATGAGCTGATTTCTACTATTATAACAAAAGGGTCTGGTAAGCAGTTTTATGAGGGAAACTTTTCTTACATTTTAAAGGAAATAAACAAACTATAGAAACAACTCAGGGATGTTCATTTTTTTTAACAATAATATAATTAATCAGCATATACAGAAAATTAAGCCTTTTAAGTGTACAAATCCCTGCTAAAAAGGTCAAATTTTTGCATCTCCTTTGATGCGGGAAGTTTCAGGCAAAATTAATTTCTTAAATAGGTACATCACCAAAATATGGAAGTGTTTGCACTTTTTATATTAATGCTGCATGTATTACAAAATATATTTCTTACATAAATATCCACCAGTCATAACATAATCTATGAATGGATGACCTAAAGTTTTTAAATAATTTGAGAAACAACAACTAAATGAGGTATGAGGAGAAAGAAAATCTGTCAGGGTAACTTCCTATTTCTTTTATGCAGACAAATATATATATTTAGAACATCGCATGCTATATCATTTTTAGCAGAAGCTCATTTGCAATGCTCATCCCCAGAAGGCGCTTTTACAAAAAAATAAAAAAAATCAAGCAAAGGTAAAAAAAAAAATCATACAAAGGTCAAACACAATCAATAAAAAGCATAAATAAATTTCACATGAATTAATGAATTCCACAACAGACCTCTTTTTAACAAACATTTAGGGTCATATCTAGATTTATACAGTGTGAATTCCGCTTGAGTAGCTCTAAGCCTTATCTTGGAGCGTTGGACAGGAAATGTTAAAAGATGTTTTCATCAGTGTCACTTTAAGGCTTTCACTGGTGCTCTGACTGGAACTACGAGCTCACTAAAAACATGATGGGCTTGTTTGTACAGAGGTTTACTTTAAATTACAGAACTTTATAAAATGTACAAAGCAAGAAATCAATCAATCTTGGTGTCTTTTACTCAGAGGTGTGTGGACTTTTAGATTCACTGTCATTCAGATGATCTAATAATGTTCTAAAGTGACATAAGGATGTTCATTAACAGACTCATTCTGAACCGTCTACACCCGGTCAGCAGCCATGGGAGTGTTTTCAGTTTGCATGATTTCTTTTAAAACACCCTAATACAGGGGTGCCCAACCTTTTTTGAAACCAAGATTTACTTTTGAAGTTGATGGCATGCGGAGATCTACCAAGCCAAACACAAGGGATGGGCAGTATTTGTTTTTTATTTGCACAGGTGGAGAATAAACAGTAAGTCCAACAAACAAGGAAGTCGTCAATTGTGTCAAAAAATAGGTTGCAAAAACAGAACATACTTTTTATTTTTCATTTTATTATTATGAAAATACACATTGGCCCCTCATGATCAATGATTTGTTAGTGTTTTTTAAAACTTTTTTTTTGTCATAGCCATAAATAGGTCTACGTTGTAAAACTTCTCGCGATCGACTGAAACTCCGCCCACGATCGACAGGTAGACCGCGATTGACTGGTTGGGCACCCCGCCCTGATAAATGAAATAATGATTTTTTTTTTTTTTTTTTTAAGTTACATCAAAATTTCAAAGGTTGCCATATGCACTTTCATCATTTGCTTGCAAGATTAAGGCATTTTCATTTGGTAGGATAAAGCCATATTTTTAAGGTAGTCCAGTCAGTTCATTCTGATATTACTGGTTAACTTACCTGCTTCTTCCGCGTTCTGTTTTGCCTGTTGAGCTTTTGTGTGGAGCTGGAAGATTTATTAAGAAAAAGTCAAGACAGAAAGTTTCGTTCATGCCACGTAATGCCCATTTTCCATCAAATACTTCAGTTATTAAACTGCATGGAGAACTGATGTGAATTTTAAAGGCTTCGGGAAGCAAATCAGAAACACGTTCCAAAAGCTTAGGATTCTCCCTATAAATGAGGTATATCCTCATGTTTCCCTTTTTCAATACAATGTAATGTGAATGATACAGGTAACCCTTTAACTGGGGTTTAGTCATAGCGCAATCATTTACTCAGGCACCTTGAGTTTTAGGAAGTTGAGAGGTTCAGACTCAGATTTGTACTTCATCTTTTTTCAGTGCCACTAGGACAGTGTGTCTGCTTACCTTCTCTACGAGCTTGGTGTTGTTGGTGTTGGTGTTTCGGTTCATGTTCTGATCTGCTTCTTCTTTATCGCGACACTTCTGCTCATATGTTTTCTTGGACTGGGCACAAAACCACAGCAGTTAGGAAGTATCATCCTTTTCAAAATCTTGTAGGCGATTAAACAAAACATTTATTAAACGTGTTAGTTCTCCTTTTGTTACATGCCTTCTGAATTAGCATGTTTTTTGTTTTTTAATCCTTCAGCCAGTTGTTTTTTTTTTTTTTTTTAATGGCGCAATTCATTTCTCATGTTACAAAAAACAAACAACTTCCCCCATTCATGTGGAAGAATACTAAAGGGAATTAGAGTGGCAGCTTTTCACACGACTCCAACTGTTGTGACATGATCCAAATCTACATGTTCTATTTAGTTTGATACTTCCAGTTTTCATTTTACATGAGACAATGAGACATTTCATATAATTTCCACTTTTTTTTTCATCATTTCAACTATTTTATCTTTCAAATAGATAAGCAGCAAAAAAGTCATTGTTTTTTCCTCTAAGTGACTCTAATACTTTTAAATGACTTTTTTTATTGCTAAAAAAAAAGAAAAGTCTTTTGAGTCATTATTCTGCTCACACATCCAATGATAAAATGATCTAAAAACTTATAGTATTTCAAAAATTTTGTGATCCCATGAATGTTTAAACATCAATTGCCATGTATAGAAAAAAAGAAAAAAAACCCCATCAGGATCATGCCTCCTCCATTATAATCTGCATGAGCTGCTTTAAAAAAAAAAAAACAAGTTAAAAAATCTGGAGAGGAAAGAATCTATGGCTTTTTATGGACCCTTAATTCTGCAACTATTTGCTGCAGTTCTCTTAAAGTGAGTTTTAAAAATGTTTCGTTTTTTGGGGATTTTTTTTTAAACAGCTTTGGATTCTTCCTTTAGCACTTTGGCTGTAAATATGATCATGTGTAGTCTTAAAGCTAGTTTCATTGCAGCCATTTATGAAGTTTTTCACACCTCTGCTTTGGGTCAATTACATGTTTTTCCGTAAAAATTCAAAAAATATCCACTGGACTTGGTTTCCATGATTTGAAGACGTTTCGCCACCTTTCCAGGAAGCTTTCTCAATTCAAATGTCTGGATCCGTTTTGAGTTTGAGTCTTATATAGACAAGGCCTTGTATCGCTTGGAAAAATGCAAATGGTAACCAATGAATGGGTCATTTGGTTCCATCGTTAGCCTGTAAT